AACTCATGCATATTAGCCCTGAGCTCGGACACGAGCTATTTGTAATACTGACTTCTCAGATGGACCGACCACGCTGAAAGTTGACACTGTTCACTCAACCGACTGGGAAGATCGAGATGCCCACTTTGAACAACCCAGTCGGTTTTTTGCCTGTAGGTTCGCAGGTCATTCAATTTGTTCCTGAAAGTGTCCCTCTCAAATTGCAATGCTTGTTCAAAGGGTGTGGTGGAGCCCCAGTTCGAATGGTATGTGTGTCTGTGTGTCTGTGTCTCGGTGTGTCTTTCTGTCTCTTAGTCGCAGTGTCTTTATGTGTGTGTGTGTCTGTGCTTTTTGCGCTAGGTTTGTCCCTCTGTGGTCTGGCCGGTTCGGTCGGTTGATTGGGTTGGGTCTCCGGGCTCCAGCCCGACCTGTTGGTTGGGATGTTGTGCTAGCAATAACACGTCTACCGAACCGGGGTCAAGCAGGGCAGAGTTGGGCCAGATGTCCTGATTACCAAAAATATCCCCCTGGCGTGAAAAAGAGTGAGCTGAAGTTTTTGTCAATCACTTCAGTTCTCCAAACATCACTTTCAAATTTATCGGAGTTTGAAAGCTCTTTCGGATGGTATCTTTCAGCTTGGTTCGATCCAGGCGCGGAGATATCCCTTGGCCTGCCTTGCCGCTTCCACTCTGTCGCTGGCGGCCGCCGGCTCAGCACCCATCGAGCTTTTACCTAAAACGGCGAGGCCTTTTTCGATGGGAGCTGTTCCTGCATTGCGGCAGGTATTTCCCTTAGCCAGATTAAGTGTTCGTCACTTTTTGGAGTGGCTGACTTTTCGCCTGGTGGATGTCAAGGGGTCACCTGACCATCTTGAAACTGGAGAGCTTCATGAGTCACAGGAGGCATTGTACGCTGCGGAGATGAATCTGGGGGGCCTTGCTAGTCAAGGGCCTGTCCCCCTCAATGGCAACGAGGGTTGGGCAAACTTTATCCAAGCCACGTTTAAACGTGTTCAAGCAATGGGGGTCGAATCACCCAACCCTGATGGCAGCATGGGCTGATGTCCCGTTCTATTCATCCGTTCTCACTTCTTGGCGCCCGTGTCCCTAGGCCATTTTGCCATCATCAGGCCTTTGCTTTGGGCAAGTGGTCTGTCGTGGGCACCCCTTTGGCTATGTCCAGCCGCTTGTCAGATACCAACGTATTACTGTATTGGAGGCCTTATTGGAGGCCGTCTTCATTGGGCTTTCGCTCGGTTGCCCCTCGAGGAAATGGTACGATCCAAAAATCCAGGCCTCCAACCCAGCATGGAACTTGGCGATTCTGGAGGGACACGTCCTGTGGCTCAATCCGCAACGACCCCCAGCCCACCAACCAGCCAGGCCCCCAGAGAATACCGCCTGTTGCCTCCAACCTAAGAGTGAAGCAAGGGTTTCCTGCCAACCTGTCTAGAGGCACATGGCTCACTCCCTGAGATCCTGGGCTTTACAATTTTGGGAAGACCATTTTTGTGGCAAGAACCAAGCTTTTACTTAACTTTGCGGCTAATCAACGCAGGAAAGGGAGGGGGAAGTCTGTCGACTCGAGGCGTTGACCCTCTTTTGCTTCTCCCAGGCGCGCGGCAGGCAATCAAGGGCCGTGTATGACAGGGCCCGTTTTGTACAAAACATGTCCAGGTCGGGTCCAGCCTCCCATAGAACGGGTCAAATTACAACAAGCCGGAGAACGAGCTCATGATGAAGGCTCTTTGCTAAGGGAGTTATGATTTCCAGTTGGTGAATTCTGTTATTTGCCCCGGTGGGACCATGCAGAGTTGTGAATTTCCCAGGGTTTTATGCATTGGCACCCGCACTTGTGGTTGGTCTAGGTTCATTGGTCGATGGTTTATGAGAAAGCCTCAAGGAATCACGCGGGCAAGTGCAAGAGTCAAATGGAAAGTTATAAGTGAATTGGCCAACGTTTGGTCCAAAAATAGATGCATAAGCCCCGTAAACCCCTTTTAGGAGGGTTCTTATATACAATTTATAGCAATCGCAGGTGGCCAGGGAAGTGTTTGTTCTTTCCCTTCAAATGGCCTCCGTGGCCTTCCGGCCGCTGGTTCTGCTCGGGCACCTGGTCCGTGGCTCAGACTGATGCCCAAATACCACATCTGGTAGGACAACATGGAGCTGTTTTGCCAGGGCCGATGGTCATTCTGCCGCAGCGAAACTGTGCTGGTTGATTTGCTTGGCATCCCGCCAAGCATGAGTGCAATGTCAGCTCTACGAGCTGTTGGTTGAGTTCGTGGCTTTGGCGCCTTTGCTTACAAGTTTCAAGCACAAGAATCACTTAGAGCAGGCCATCTGCAACCTGAAGCTGCGGCAGAGCTCAAGCGCGCACAATCAGAGGCCACAAAAGTAAACAACGTGCGCAAGCCCACTCCAGGGGACCCATGCAGCTGGTGTGCAGGTGGAGTCGGGGCACGCATGAGGTGCGTTAGACTGTTTGAGGTGCCGCTCCCAGCCCAAACCTTATGCGGGGTGGCATCTTCTGTGACTTATAGTTTTCACTTTGGTATGGCCCGGGTATTTCCCACATGGGAGGTGTCGAAATACGGGACCCCCGACAAAATGCGGCTTTCCCGAAAAAAGGGTACCAAGCCTCAATCAACCCCAGCCCCATATCTTGCATGTTCGACTTGCTTCTTTGGGGTGGGGCACGTTCGGCACGTGGGTGCCAGGGCCATGCTCATGATGGACTCGATGCCATCGGTTTGTCCAGCACCGAGGCGGGGTTTTGCCATGGATTGGCCAACGCGTGTATACGAGCTAGGGCCGCATCATAGTGCCGGTTTATGGATCCGACATCCTGAAATAACATAACTCTACACTCAACTTACTTCCTGGGGGCTTTCTGTTCTTGGCATCGGCAAAGAAGGAGTGGAGCGGGTCGGATTCGGGCGATTTGCTAAGGCCTGCCTTTGCCCCTAAGGCACCCTGCAACACATTTCTACTTACGACCGTCATGACCAAAATGAGAACACGCCAGTCCCAAAGAATCTTCTAAACGACAATTGGAGACGGAGTGCATGAAAGCCACTTAGGCGCGTGTTTTCTGAGAATACTCACCCTTCTCAGCTTAGGGCTCGGTTGAAAGAGATACTAAAAGGAACACCGCGTGCGCTCGGCTCTAGGTGGGGTTCCTGGTTCGTAGAGCTTCCATGTAGCAGGCAGCCTTGTGGTTTCCCTTCGTTGGACACGCAGGCTTCTACCTGATTTAATTACATAGTTTATCATAGACCTTGAATCCCCCACAGTTGGTAGAACCCGCAAGTCAGGTGCTGCTCACATGCAGACAAGGTTTGCGTTCCAGCCCGTAACTTACTTTGCCAGCCTTTGCTTGTTTGTTTTTGCTTTGCCTAGGAAAAGCGGATCGTGCACTTGACATACAAGCCGCTGGGAAAGTGCTGGGGCCCTAGCCCGCCCCAGCCTGGATCGGTTGGGAGCTAAGGTTACCCTTCCCAATTGAAACCTGACTGGAGCGCCTGGACCAAGAGTCCCAAGAACTTTGGAAACAATCAATCCCAATGTGCTCACGCAGAGGGGGCTCACATGGAAATCCATTGCTCTCGAAAAGCGCTAGGACTTGACTTAATATGTTTCCGGGGCGGCAAAGCCGTCTGGGCTGCACTACCTTTTCACCTACACTGAATGCTGCTGCTACACGTTCGCGGGTATTGCATGCCCCTGCGGCCTGTTCACATCCACTTTCCAGTTTGACATTCCTTTTTCGCAAGCACCAGGGGGGCACGGACAAAACCTACAAGCCTACAAGGACTTGCGTAAAGCTGTCAACGAAGGGTAGTTCTTCTTGCAAGTGTGCGGGAGTCCATCCGTGTTTGTGTGCGGGTTTTGTTTCATTGCTCCCACTGCAAGTGTGGATGAGTAAATATATTTGGGGGATGCCTCCAAGTTGGTGAAATGATTGCGTTCCCCATTTTTAAGTATATAAATGCCGCCGATGAAACTACCCGGAGGCGGAACAAATATTTATTGTAAAAAGGGTACATTGTATGAAGGGCCTGGGAAAACAATACATGCTGCATTTATTAGCGGATTCGTTTGTGAACATGCGCTTGAAGAAAGGGGGCCTTTGTCTCGCTCCCGTTTCCAGACTTGGCTTACTTCTGGGAGGATCACCCCAAGTGGCGAACCAACAACGATGCAGTAAACCCCTATTTCAGAGGTTCACACCCCTATTTCCAACCAAATGCATACCAATACTAGGTCCCCCAGTGCCCTTGTACCCTTTTTTGGGGGGAGGGTTCCCCTACAAAAATAGACTGAACAAAAAGAGGACACCCTTGTTCGAACCTCTCTACTGAAATACCTAGGTAAATATAAAGCCCTAAAAATCCCATGGCTATCGCAGCCTGGGCCGATAGAACCCATGGCCACCGCCATTGCTTTTCTCGAGGTCTCGACCTGCGGGAAGCGAAGGGCACCGAGCAGCTGCAAGCTGCCGGCGCCTGATGCCACGGAGCAATTGGTTGCTCTTCGGATTTTTCCCCAAAAAAGGGAAAGCACATCGAAAACGTAGGGAATGCACAGAGACACAGAACCCATCTTGATGCATATATGTTTACATGGGAATACAAACTTTTTTACCCCCACATGAAAAATGTGTAGGGCTTAGAGCCTAGCCACCGTTTCACTTTTCTTTGACGTTTCCATTATCCCTAAAGATATTCTTTGGTAAATGCAAGCACTCTAGTATGGCCAATGCACAAAAGATAAATCCCCTCCAGTTTCCCTTAGGGGTAAGTAGGGGTCAGTGAAGGGGGCAGTAGAAACAATCTTAGATATTCCTGTCATGTTCTGTCCTCATGGAAGTTGATCTTGAAGAACTTCTTCCTTAGGCAACCACATCTTTCATGAAGCATAACCTTAATAAAACCTTTATAGCCAGTTCAACAAACCGAAAGTCAATAGGTGAGACGGTCGCTCCAATGAAAATCGTCAGACCCTTCAGAAATGGGTCCGACGGCTTGCGCCCAAGTCTCCCATCCCGGAAAAGAATCTCGAATCGACTGAGATTGTACTCCAGGCCTTCCTGGAGTTTTTGGCTATGGAGTATGGGGAGCTTTTTTGCAGGAATTTGCGGTCTCCCAAAGGCAAAATCCACTGCAAGCTCGTGGTTGCCAATGTCACGGAAGCTGACAACCGGGTATGGGAAGGCGTTTCTGTTGGGAGGTCCTTTCTCCACTTGGCTTGTTGGAAGGCCAGGGATGGGTGGGGAAAAGCCACGCGTTCGTGCAAGGTCCTTGCAGACTGTGACTTTGGCAGGCGCGGGTCCGGGTCGTTTCGGTGACGGCCGCTTTGCAGTGTTTGCTGCCCTTCGCAAGGATTTGGGCAAGTTGCATTCCCTAGTCTTAGCCCAAGCTGGGTTGGAAGAGCCTGTCGGTTTGCATACAGGGTTTGAATGAATTCTTACATATGCAATATACAGTTTCCCTTCTTGGCTGAGCGCTGTCGCATGAAGACAGCTCTTCATTGGAGGGCGACAGGCATCATCCGCCATCGACTTATGGTGAGCTGACTGCCTAAGAAATACGGCCAAGCGTGAAGCGCCAGCTTTCTTTAGCAAAAGGAACCCACGTTTTCTTTTTTGGGGGGTGCCTTTATTTTGATACATAGCCGTGTGCATGTCCGCGCAGGCTGCTAAGCAGCCAGATGTGGGTCGTTGATCGCGACGAAGGCGGAACCGACATTCCGATCTCCGATGCCCAGAAGTTCCACCCTTCTAGCCCTGAAGCCCGTAACAACGAGTTGGACGACCGTGCAATTTCCCAAGCATTGAGGATGGTTCGGACGGTTATGACGATGTCATTTCTGCGCCCATGTGAAGCCTGAGTTGTTTGAGTCACATATGCAGTTCCTGGCTGTTTTGTGTTCTGTCGCCATGCGGCCAACAGTGCTTTTGACGAATTTTGCGGTTTGACGTATTGTTTTCATGAAAGGCCAACAACCCGTTAGCCCCGTTGACTGGTAAATTGGGAGGAAGGGGAAAGTCTTTGAGCAAAGCTGCGGGCTCCATTGGTCCCTATGTGTCCTAGTTATGTCCTGGGCCGTCTTTGGCGCCATTTACCGTCGAATCTGTCGGGATGTCCGCCTTGTCTCATGGCCCGAAACTGCAACCTTTCGTTTTCGCCGAGGCAAGGCAGCGGAGGAGATCTAGAATCAGCTTGTATAGTGTGTTTACGAGAGTTGCCCAGGCTATGACCCAAATAGCTACGCGGATGATGCCGAGCTTGATGTAGATCTGCGGCAACCTGTGCAGAAGGTAACTACGGTGATCGCCGGGTGGTTCCGTTGCCACGTTGCGTGTGGAGCTTGGGCTCACCCCAAAACACCCTGATACCACGAGGGGTAGGGAACCGGGCAGGCGTGATCAGGAACATCCTGCACCGGAACAAGTGCCGCCTGGCGGACCTTCGGTTGGCTCAGAAAGCCCCCGATGACCTTTGATTTGTGCTGGCGTTGTGTCTTTTGACGGCGTTTGTGGGACGGCGTGTTAGGACGTGTGACGGCCATCTGTTTCGGAGGGAAAAGGGCTCCGGGGACTTCGTATTCAACAAGATGTTGTCAGTCCATGGTTTCCCCGTGCAAAGAAAAGCCATGGCTCGGACATTGGGTTGGTTGGGTTCTTACATTGTCTCGCAGGACGTGTTTCCCCCGGATTTACCAAAAACACATGTCATAGGGAATTACACATTTTAGGAGTCCTGCTTTTTAGGAGCATCCGTTGGCATGTGTGAGCTTTTTGGTCCGTCAATAATGCCTCTTTTATTTTCTGTCCTGCAAGGTATGGAACCTCAAAAGGGATCCCAGTGGGTGGACTGAATAAATGAGCCCCCGCCCCACAAACAATTGAGGGAGACCCTGTAGAGAAAACGGTAAACTAATTTGGGGTCGGATTGGCATCCCCCTAAGTTCAGTATATATTGGCTTAGTATTGGTTGGCTAGTATTGGTTTGGTATTGGTTCAGTATTGGATTGTGGGGTGAATTCCCATTGTCATGGGTAGTTCTTTCGGTAGTTCAAATTGGGCCACAAAACCATGGGACATAAATCGGGGGTTCTCATGGTATTGCTTTGTGCTGCCTTCGTGCTGGCTCAATATTGGTTAGTATTGGTTGGTATTGGTTGCGTTGCGCTGCCCTAGTACTGGTTTAGTTTTGGTTTAGTAGCACTTTGTTTTGTCGGCCTGGACTGCGCGGAATATGTTATTGCTGAGTGTTTGGGGTGGCACTGTACCAACCCCTTTGTTGGCTGCGCACTTTTGTACAAAGATTCCGGACAACAAACGGACACAAGTTGTTTTTCTCCGGGCTTTGTCCCGGATGTTTTTCCCGGACCAAACGCATCTTGTATTAGGTACCTCATGCTCATTTATAATTTTTGGCACAGCTTTGCTGTACTCAGTACCCTTTGATGAATCAGGCACCGACGGAGCTCGGCTTTTTCCTGCACTGTGCCAGACTTGAGTCGTTGATTCGCAGTCCTCAGGGATACTCACTCTCTTAAACATGGAATGGAAAAGGCCCTTCAACGAGCCCATGTTCGGCCACGGCTTAGCAGGGATGTTCCGATTGACAAAATGCCAAAAATAAAAAATGTTGGTTTCTTGTATGTTTTCCGGCTGAGCGTTCGAGCAAGTCTGGATAGAAACCTGCTGGACATCGTTTTGGCCATTTGTTGGAGGACAGCGCTTTCAACCCCGAAATAAAACAAGCAACTCGAGTTAAACCTCCGCTCACCGGGTCACCAGGACCTTCCCAGGGCTGTCAATGCAAAATGGCCCAGGGTCACTTGAGGCACAAATGAACCATTCTTGCAGGGTGGGTGTCTCTTTTTTAGATGACCCTACTACTGCTAAAGATGTGGCAAATCGTTTCGCCCAGGCCTCTTCACTTTGCAGTTTCATGAGCTTGCTCCCTTTGGAGCCTCGCCGGGTCCCTGAGGGGCTGGCGAATTCGCGAGAGGGCTGGATTTGGCAATTCGTCTTTAATCACGTCTCCAAAGCCGAGGTTTCGACCTTTCGGTCGTCCAGTTTTGATCCATGAGTGACTGTTCCAAAGAGTTCACCTTTTTCTTGCTGGATCTTCGGAGAAGTGAGTTGTCCCTCAATACCAGGCGTCTTTTTGGCTGCTCTTTACGCAACAGACGCCTCCACGTGTATCTGTGTTAGGGCATGTCAGGTGGGTTCGGGAAACCAAAGCAAGGCCAACGGGGTCCAGCGGCTGATGGTTCCAAGCTGGCGGGTTCCGTGCTCAGGAAGGTCACAACTCGATTGAAGTTCGGCTTGGTAGGTTGCCAAACTGCATGTCCAGAGGAGAATGCATTCCGCGAAAGCCAAGGCGCTAGAATTGAAGCTCACTATCTTCGATAATGGAATGTTGTTTCTGTCAACATGGCGTCGTCTGCAAAACTCAACACTAAACCTGACCGCAAGGCACAAGCACATGGAGCCAGAGCAATGGGAGCTTAACTGTGCTTTGGGGGGCTGACTGTTATCTTTTGCGGGCTTCGCTCGCGGCCTGAATCCTGATGTCACAGCACGCGGGTGGAACATTTGTTAACTGTGCCTTCAAGGCCTTCCAAGAATCACGGGAGTGGGTTGACTGCCTTCCTCTTTGAACTGGCCCCTGGAATTCATTCCCTGCACTTCCCTTGCGGGGTGCTGCTGTCCGGCACCATGTTCGAAGCATTGTTTGTCTGGCCCCTCGCCATTCTCAAAGTTACGCAAGTGGTAGGACCCTTGCGAACCCCACCGTCAAAACCATGATCCTTGCAAGTTGTTCTTCCAGGTCATGCAAGCCTTTCAGCACAGGCGGGCGAATCGCCCGCTCCGAGTCATGGGGACATGGGACCAAAGTGTCAATCGCCTGTGCGTACGCGACAAAGGTTCCAAGCAGATACCCAAGTGTGATGCAATCTGTTACTTTGCTGGTCTTGAGTTCTTGAATTCCTTTGCTGTGGGCTTGGATAAAACGGTCGCTGCAAACTTCGTTAGCCAAAATGCTGCATGATCTGCCGCGGCAACATGATGTCACACTCAGGTTTGCCGGAAACACACTTGAGTGATGAGAATCGTTCTCGAACTCGCGACTTCCATTGATGTTGTCCGCACCTCCAAGGTTGTTCTTGAGATTAAGCAAAGTAAACTATGTGAACACAATTTGTTGGAGATGGTTGGGTTAAATGCGAGCTGATGCCTATGCATCAGTTTAGTGATGCTATTGTGAGCCTTTTCCTTTCCCAGAAAGCTTGTTGTATTAAATAAGCAGCTCGAATCCAAACACAATCTTGCTTTCTAAGAAACAAGCTACAGAACATCTACAGGAAAGCTACCTGCATGATGCAGACGAAATCCATGTTTGCGTATAATTTGTTACACATATTACACACATTTGTATATATATATATATACACGTACATACAACATACATATGTATGTATATGTGTGTGCGTATGTGTTTCTAGTTGGGTTTCTTGAATGTCTGTTTGGAGGCACGCCAAGGTAAGCTGCGTTGAACCCCACCATCAAAATGCTCTTCCGAATTCTGTTGACTGTGCATCGAGATTGGGGAACATTTGGGCGAACCAGGCACCAGACTGGTCCCCTGGGCACGTGTCCAAATAGGGGAACCCACTAAATGATTGCTTTCCTTTGGGCTTCCTTTTCAAAACCAAGCTTTGAAAGGGTACCAAACCTCAAAAAAGAAGTCGAGCCACACCCACTTCGGAAGCTGTGTAACCATGGTGTGTTCAACATTCAGCCACCACCCCAACCAAATTCCAGGTGCTGGCAACTGTTGAATTGGCTCCGCGCTGTTCGAGGCGGCATTTGGGGCTTCACGCAGCAGGGCCAGCTGGTCACACTCACAGATGGTCATGCAGCTTCGCCCGACTCCCAGGAAGCATTGGAGAGGGAGGGATTCATAAGATTTAAACCACGAAAACTGCAGTCGCAACTATAGGTGCGGCCCTTTCAATTCTTTACATGAAGTTGGGTCGACAAATGTTGTATCAGGAGTTGATTGTGATTCATTTTTCAAGGTTTACCGCCGTAGCCAAGCTTTAAGAATTGCAACTGCCCCAGTTGCATTCCGAATGCCATCGAAAGCATTTGAGGGTTGCTCATTCGGCCCGCCGGGTGGTAATCCGAGTTTCGCGTCATGTTCAGTTAGTCAGCGGACAAGTTGAGGGGCCGGAGTTTCAGTGAGAGTGAGGCTATGGTTACTGCTTGGGGTGCCTGCGGGATCTCCATGCGGTCCATGGCGCCACCGCCAGGTCGTATTGCGCGGTGCCAAGACCTGCTCATGCCTCGGCGAAACCTGCGACTTGCAGATCTTGCATGGGTTCCTCGTTAAGATAGCCGAAGATGGCTATATGTTTTTGGTCAACTGCTTGCTCTGATCCTCGGGATCAAGCTGGATCCTTGAGACCGAGATGCTCGAAGCTCTTTTTTGACAAGTATCGTGGACCCCTGAAAAATGGTGAGTTTCATGTTGGTCCCCCTTTCAAGTGCCAACCCAGCTCCCTTTGGTTGGAAGCTCGAATGGGACAGGTCTCGACGCGAAATTGGAGCTGTGGTCGGTCCTAAGGCCCTAATTTCGTGTGGAGACGTCCTGGAAATCCAGGTGGCCGAATGGTTTGGTTTATGGGGCAAAACGGCCCGTTCAACTGGGTCTACTTGGGTTTTTTGCCCCGGGCCACGCCATTCGGCCAAGGCGGGGATGTGATTTCCGGAATTGCATCCAACACTCCAACAACTTCGGGGCAGCTTCCGCGCGCTACCATTTCATGCCTGCGCTCAGGGGACGGAGGAGAACGCTGAGCGAGAGCTGGTGCTACAAGCGTGCCTCAGCGCTGCGCGGCACGCTTGTGGGCGGAGGGAGGATGACAAGCCGTGAGCAGTGCAGCGGCAGAAGCCTCAGGGAAGCATTGTTTCAGAGACTTGTACCCCCAACATGGGTGGAATACTGGGTTCCTTTGATTTCGCAAACGCCCAACCACATAAAAGGGTAACTACGATCAAAAGCAACCACTCATGTAGCGCAACAAGTCAAGAGGTGTGCCGTGGCCCTTCGAGGAGTATGGCAGTTGCGACCATGAGCTTGTTTTTTGTTATAAAAGACTTTGACACGAGCAGCGCCCGAAGCCCCCATTTAAAAATATATTTTTTGGTAGGTGCTTCTACGACCTGGTTAACTTTGGGCATGAAGCAAGGCCTACATAAACCTCCATAAGCATATTTCGGAAGTTAATAGGTGGTGGTTTCTCATCCAAGGCATGATTGGGGGGCCGCAAAGTTGAAACCTAGTGGATGGAGACGCCTGAGCAATGTTTAGACAGTTGTCATGTTTCTGTCAACATAAGCTATGTAAGTAACCACATCAGCCAGACAGCAAGGGTGCCAGTCGCTCTTGGTGCTGTGCTGCGTTTTATAAGCCCTGGCTAAGCCTGGCTATGTGACCAGGCCTGGTGTCAAGGGCGGGCTTTTCCTGACTTTCAACCGGCGGAAGCGGCACCTTGAGTTTGCTCGTGCAAGGCGCAGCGAGCCCAACCACTCAGAACCAGTGGCTGCCCGCCAGTCGCCCAGACTCGAGTCAGACCTTCCCAGCCCGAGGCTGCTAGATGAAACCAAGCCGCTTTGGGCCGGGCTCGGCAACGGGCCCATTGTTCCCAGGCGAGTTTGGGCACCCTGATGTACCCTGCACCAAGCCTCGTATGTGGTCCTCGTCAGGTACACCGGACCCCTTGGCTCACGCAATTCCAGGTACCCGTTTCTGGGTTACTAGTTTTTTTGGGGGGGGTTTTGTTTTGTGTTTTTCCCTTGATTCTTTGGGAATGACCCTTTTCTCGTGGCTTCGTGGCTGCGTTTTTTGGATTTGCGGTAAAGTTCGTCCCAAGTCCTTCCCAACGGAACACTCCATGAGGAAACTTCGATGGGCCATGAATGCTGAAGGTACATCCATCCTGAGTTCATCATCATTTTGTTGGGCGGCCCTTCTAAAGTGAACATTCCCGAAAAAGAAATCCCCCCTTCTTCTTCCGAAGGGGTCGCCTTCAGTTGCAACGAACCTGCATGCATCCAACAAATGTCCCATCCAGCCGCCGGGTCGCCGAAGCTCCATGGCTTGGCCCGGGCTCGCCGCCACTTCGACGTTCAGCTGGGAAGATCATGTCCCGCCACAACACCCCAACCACTTAACAACATTGAGGCAAAGGAGAACCAGGTGTTGTTGTTGAGTCCAACTGTTTATGCAACACTTCTATCATATACCAGCGCCTTTTCACATCTGTTGTTTCCCATGTCCCATAAATCCCCAGCCCAAGTGCTCAAACCCCGGGCGCGTGACTCAGGTGGACGCCCTGGCCGTCGCGGGCATCGCTGCCATGAAGCGGCGCCGGCCTGGGGAGGCGGACTCCGAGACGGGCTCCGGCCGTGCTCCGGCCGTGTCGGCGTGTGGGTGCTCAAGACGCGTTTTTGGCACCTGGGCCCATGGCAACCACTGCTTGTTTTGGACACTTGGGATTTTGGACATGGGACAAATCAGTTGTTGGCAGGGGGGAGGTTCTGAGAATGGATCCAATATGTTTTTTGTGGTCGCCTGAGTGGTGTTTCGATAGGAGCTGTGGAAAACCGGATTGGCCAACACTCCATGCTGATAAGTTGAAGCCAGTGCTTGCTCCAACCGGGTGAATGGGTTTGTTTCACAAAAGATTTGGCCCCAACAAAGACTATTTTGTTCCATTTGCTCTCCTAAAAGTATCTGGAAAGGAAGGTGCATTCCCGAGAGGTAATGCATGGCCACCCGTACCTTTGAATACATAGGGGAAACTATGAGGGGGCGCTGGGTGTGGGGATGGGGAACACCAAAACTGTGTTGTTCCTTTGGCTGCCCTTGAGCGGTGCCCTCCAAACTCGCACATTTGCGTCAACTGTGGAAACAGCAATTTGGTTGGCTGCTGATTTGGCGTTTGTTGTTGGGGACATGACAGTGGGCACTGTTTGGAGGTGGCCTCAGTTTCACTGGATAGTTGGTTATGGCAGTTCAGAGCGCTGGAATGGGTTGCCAGCCAACGGAAAACTGTGGCTTTGGTGTGTTGAGAGGTAGTCATGGTGACGTGCTTGCCTGGAAGTGCCTCATCAGGAACGGCAAGGTACTTAGCCACATGAGTTATAGGATTCCAGCGCGCGCATCCCCCCTCGTCCACAATGGCTTCCCCATTGTAAGACCCTAAAGTGACTCTTTTTTTTGGAAAGGCTAGGGTGGAAATCCCATTGAAACGCAGGCGATCACGGCGGAAGCGATGCGACGTAAGGCAGTGAGACATGCCAACCCGGTTGGGGAAGGGCGGGTCCCAACCACTGCTTTTGGGACAGTACATTTGATTTTGAGCATGGGAAAAGCAATTGTTGAGAGGTACTGATTCAAAGGCTTTTGTCGAAGGGCCAAGTTGAACTGTTTCTGGCCAGCCAAACAGCTCACTCAAGGTTTGGGGCTCCGTCGGTTTCACATGGACCAGCCACTAAAACCAAATGCAGAGGGTCTAAGTCTGGTCCAAGTAGATTGAGCAGCCATGCTCTTCAGCATACATTTTGTCAGCACTTGCTGAGAACTCCCACTGAGGCGAGTAACCAATGGATTGCTTGAGATCAAAGCAGGGGCGGCTAGCTTTCGAGGTCATTTTGAATTGTTGATGGCATTGCGACTCGATGACCAAACGAGCGGAGAGGAGAGGCCGGATGCTTGGGGTTTGTTTCATGGCCAGTTAAGCTGATTACAGCTTTGAGCGACCTTCTCCACGCACTCATCCACAGCGTCACCCTGTTGTGGAAGCCCATGTCAGTGCGGTGTCGTCTCAAATCGCATCAGCAACTCTTGGTGGTGGGGCGGCGCGAGGGATACGTATGGATATGCAAGACCACTTTCCTATACACCCGTTTCCTTGTTCTGCGGACAGGTGCCTTGCAGTCGGGAAGCGGGTCGTGTCACTCATAATTGCTCATGCGTTGAAGGCGTTGAAGGTTGCAGCAGCTGCCGAAGAGCGTCGCTGCAGTGGTGTAGCTGTCGCGCGCTTTTGCATGGCAATGGAAGAATCCAAGAGTATTAATTATTAGCAGAGAACAGTACAAGAGAAGCTTTCACTGGTGCGCAGTGCTACGCATCAGACAGGCAATGCTAAACATAAACGGCTGACATAGACTGTGGAGCATGCTACCTCATGAGGAGCTTGTGCCATGTGCGCGCAGCGATTGAGAGACGAGTCGGCTTCGCCAACAAGGGTGAATATGTTTCCTTTGGTTTCGCTTCAAGCCAACCAGAAGGCTGCCAGAGGGGCAGCATTAATAGAGGCATCGCCGTTTTTTGGGCATAGAATTTCGTTGCCCGTGGACATCGCCGTGGTGGCTTACCCCTTAGGGTTTCATCCACCCCGGCGCCCATGACGGGCTTCGCATTGGCTCGGGCAGGCCGCAATGAAGGACAGCGCAGGTGCGGGCCCTGGAACCGCGGCGCGAGCCAAGAGCACTTTCCGAAACCAGGAACTACATGCCCGCCAGGTATCCGGGTTTGGGCCCAATTCCTGCAGACTTTTCAAAAGGCTGGGTTTCCTAGCATAAATCGGAATAATTCCTACCTTGGGGCATGAAGGGGATCACCTTTCTAGTCTAGATGTAGTGGAGGTGGATTAGAATTGGCCAGCACTTCATTGGGAACAGCCCAGCAGTGCAGATGCCCCATGTCCGTCCCTTTCCCGTCTTTGAAGATGGATATCTGCGAAACCCTCCAGGGACTTGACCTGGCCGCGTTTTTGCCAGGCGACCTGATGACCTTGACAAACCTGGCCAGCCTGGCACACATTGCAAGCATCCAAAACCTCGCTAAAACCCCGAGAATTGGTTTTGTGAGACCTAGAACCCCGAGGATTTCGCATGTTGAACACCCCTTGATTGAGTGGCCCCTCTTTTCTCCTTTGACTATATAGTTGCGGCTCTTTGCAGGTGGCCGCGCACGAAACCGCGCGGCTCATTGGAACACGAGAGGATAGCGCCCAACACCCCCTTTTTGGTCCTGGTATCTAGCTTCATGAGGCATACCTTAAGTTTCGAAGAAGCCTTTAGAACCATGGCGACCGCACCCATGGCCTGATTCTGCCAGATTCTTGATTGCTGAACCCGATTCACCCAGAAAGCCGTACAGTATCACAGTAAGAACCAAACTTTCTCGAGTGGTGCACAGGTCAACCGTTGGCCCATGCCAGGTTCACATCATCGACACCATGAAGTCGACGCCGGAGCACTTTTGGAGCTCGCCTTAAGCGAATAGCCATCCGCAAGTTCTTTCGAGATCTCCAGACCCAAGGCCGAAGGTGCGCTCAGAGGAATCCCCTAGAGCCCGAAGGCGCTTGATGGCTTCGGGGCGCCTGCTCGGGGCGCCTGCATCCAAGGTGGACCGTTCGCGGCATGTTCTCTGCACTGTCACCGGACTGGGACAAGTGGGAGGAGCGCGGCATGGCTTTGGTGTACCGAACCCCTTGTCCCGGAAGTCGAACAGTGCCCGTGTTGCCTTGTGTAGGTGGGGAGGGAATCCCATCTTTTCCATTCTAATTCATCTTTATATTGGATGTTGATAATGATAGAATGGAATGGTATGAAAAGATGGATTTACTATTTGCTTCGTCATCAGGCATCTCTAGATTACGAATGGGGCTTTCTTTAGAATCAACTGCAAACAAGGGGCCTTTTTTTCACATGGCCGATGGGCTTCGCTACTTCTTTGTTTGCAAAGGGTTATGCATATCCGTTCACATGAGGTTTACTACGTTATACTACGTTCATGTCCCCAGATGTCAGCTCGCGAAATCGTGCCCCAATGGCAGTCTCATGCGCAGGAAGTCTTCTCGCAGGTCGCCCAGTACCGAAAGGCGGCTGTAGATAGGGGAAACCCACCATTTTGGAGGATTGTTGTTGTGACTTCTGACAAGGTGAGTTTGCTCCTGATGTTTAAAGCCGGAGTAATTGTAGGGAAGCCTCAGGGCCTCCCACGTCGAAACTATGGCTGCGAGGATTCGTTTCAAACGATAGTCCCCTTAGGGGAGAGAATCAGAGGCGATTCTTGAAACAACGGCTACCTTTCTTTTAAACATGGGGTTGACCTTGACACCCTGGAGTGCATGGTTGGGCGTTCAGGTTTTGGAGATGACAGCTCTGGCTTCCGTGTTGAAAGGGGATTCCGAAATTTACGAGCCCTCATCGATATCGATTCAACACAATCTGTCCCATTTTAGAGGGGAGCGAAACATGGCACCTATCCATCCGCCAGCTTCGTACTGCTTCAGCACGTTCCGAATGTGAAAGACAAAAACTCACACCGGGTTCCACTGACAACACCATTTGCATGTAGACAATTCTCTTCGGCCAAAAGGTTATATTTGCATCCAAGCGGATGAGACTTCCTCTTTGGTAGTATCGCGTGGTATTTTCCACGACCATGGGACCGCTCAGGTTCGAACGCTTCCTCATGCACTGGGGCGATGACAGCGCAGTGCTGGGGCGGCTTGTCCTATTGGAGCTTTCACTGTCAGTGGGACAACCTGTAAATTTCAATCATGAATGCAGGGGACGAGCTCCAAACTTCCCATATCCACTTAAGGAGCCAAGTGATTCTGCCATGACTCCCACGGTCCAAGGGGTCCGGGCATGCAAGACCAAATTCAGCTGGCTGAAGGTAAGAAGAACTTGTCACTGCCGGATTTGTCCTGCCAAGAAACGTGATATTGGAAGGCCCGGTTCCAGCCTTTTCGCCCCCCCCTCTTCGCATTCAAGGACTTCGATCGTGGTGAACCTGTTGTCCAACATGGCCTTTGCAGGCATGAACTTTATCTATGGCGCCAGGGCTCTCAGAAATCCACGGCAGTATTTAAGTGCTGCCGTCGAAGAGCCAGCAGTCCAGATGCAGATCTCCGGGTACCTGGCCGGGCAACATGACCACCCCCCCTTGTCCTAGGCAGAGTTCCAGAAATCTGCCAAATGTCCAGGGCAATTCCGGTTTGTGAAAGAGATGCAATTTGGGGAGCTCTCAAAATGGTCGCCCTCCTTTCGGTTTGTTGCGAAGCCAGAGGGAGACGCTGCGATGACTTGGGGGGAACCCGATTTTAAGAACCCGGATGCAACAGCTCGTTGCCAAGTCTACGGGCACGGACTTGTCCTTTTTCGACGGCAAGTGCCAGCTTCCCTTGCAGCTGCCGGCGCCCCAGGATGTGGATGGTGCATCAAACTCAACTGTCTGAGCAGGTAACAGGGAGCCCCAACAAACCTTCACTGTTGCCGACTGTTCATGTTCAGTGGGTGGCTGCAAAATGTTGCTCACATGCCAATGTGAAAGAAACCGAATCGTGCAGTCCCCTTTTGCGGGACCACCAGTTTGGGTCTGAAGTGCTTCCAAGAATCTCTCGCATACCTTAGCCTCGCAGGTTTACGAAGCAGCCGGCACCTCAGAGCGGAAGCAAGAGATCGTAGCCACAGGGTGGGAATGAGCGGCTGTTTCCAGTTTCCATGCGAGAAGGGGGCACAACTCCTGTTGGCTACTTTAGTAGGCGGTTCTACTAATTAATTGGTTTGATTGGGGTTTATAGCAAAGCCTAGATAAGCCTTAGTATCAACGCTAGAATTGGTTATATACAAGGCCCCCCCCCCCTGAGTGGTCTTCCAGTGGTATGGGATTTTCCCTCCCTTCTGGGAGCACACCGTTTTCGGGTCCCAAAATGTGTCAAAGAAACCAAAAGGGAAGCCACATTTTTGCAAGGGGTCCCCTTATGTCTAACTCTTTTGGCACATGGCCGAAGGATCTCACCTGCAACTTACCCTCAGGTCCCAAGGTACACCCAAAGACTCAGCCCGGTTTGCCAAATGGTGTGACTCCATCCCTGGCGTTCCTGCCGTTTTATGCCCAGCGTGCGCAGGCAGCTCATTTGCGACCCCTCGCCTGATAGAAGAAGGCGCATGGGCGAGTGTGAGACACGCCTGTGACCCACCAGCGGCAAGAAGTGTGCATGCATCATGTCTGGAATTGGATGGAGTGCCAAACGGCAAGTATCAGCTCTTCAGATTGGCAGTGTCAGAGTGGCCAAGTGAGTGTTTCTCAACATGGCGGGCCTGTTGGCACTCAAAGGGAAGCCGAACTGACGCCACGTTAGGCACCCCACAAATTAAGAACCGCAGAGTGATCGTTGTGTCATTTTCGGTTGGAGGGAGTGGTGCATTTTCTCCTATAAACAAATCAAACCAGAGGGCCTGTGGCAAAAATATCCGATGCCATCGGCCACGCCCCGCGTGAAAACGCAGGCCGGGGTGCACCTTCCAGATCCCAGACTACTTTGAGAGCACCAAGGCTCAGTTGGAGCGTCTGCCTATTGGTTTTCAAATATACCCTCCAGTCTGGCAACATGGAATCTGACTGAGGAATCCTGGAAGACGATTTTCCTTAGGGGCCCTTTTGGTGCGTTCCGTGTTAGTGGACAGGAATGGACAGGAGAGCATCCCGCTTGAGTTGCCAAACTGGAAATACATGTTTTTGCTTTTCGGTGTCGTGAATTTAGTCGAGGCCCAAGGCAAACTGTTTCGCCTGTTTGGACTTGAATCAAGGACCAACAAGTTTGAAGTTTTGGCCAGTCAGCCAACCCCATTTAACAGGTATAGGAGCCCATGTCCAACCAAACCATTGGTAAAAAAGACACCCATCTGGCAACTGGCAGCACTTTGGCGCATCCCGTCAGGTGGTGTCCCTCTCAGACTACGCCCGGGCCTCACGGCTTGGCACAAGTTTCTCCATGGAAAACCCGTTGTTGCTACTGCGGATGGACGAAATCCATTTCGCACCAAGTTGAACCACAACAAACCATTATTTGTTGCTATTTACAGGGGAATCATTCCAGGGTTTCTTAGGTGCAGGATCTCGTCCATCCACCGCATCGCTTTTGGGAGTCCATGCTCTGTTGCCAGGGAAGTAAGTAGTGGCCGTACGGCATTGCTGAGGTAAACCGATTGATAAACAGGTCTTCAAAGGATGTATCACCAGCCCCCACCATGCCTTTGGGGGCGAATTGGGGCGCAACCCTAAGGCGGACGTGTCACAGTCTGCTTCCGGCCTTGCTTCGGGCGGATTTCTTTCGAGATCAACCCCCCAGTTGTGCCACTTTCCACTGTTTATGTGCGCCTTCCCCTCTCAAAATGGTCAGCACTTTTTTGTTGTTTTTTTGGGGGTGGGTCCCTCTTCCCCCTAAAAATGATCAACCCGAAAAGGGGCCCCCATTCTCCAGCGCAATACATGTGAGTCGGCTGGCAGGCTGCGTCCTGGACTGCGGGCCCCATGTTTCGCCGCGCCGCCAAAGCCGAGACATTACCCTGCCGCCTGACGTAGGACCCAGAAACCCACCGTTTGTGGAGGAAGCTCGTTTTCAGGCATCTCGAAATTTAGGCTTCCATGACACTTGCAGCGGGAAGTCTTTTGCAAAGCTTGCCTTTCTCATCCAGGTAGTTTCGAGACGCTCTACACGGCTGCTGAGGCAGTTTGATCGAGCCTTGCGTGGAGTCTTTCAGTATCTTTCAGTCAATTGAATTTTTTGAAGGGACCCTTGGACTCTTTGCCAGAAGCTCCGGCGTGATCCGGAGCTCCAAGGGAGGGATCCGGCATAGAGATTGATTCCTGCCATTCTTGGAGCATACCCTTCCTCAACATGGGAACCCTGGGAAGTTGCTCGTTGCTCAAAGCCATTATTTTTGAGATGGTGCCGTGCTCATTGGGCGCCAAAGGTTCAGAGTCGTGTTTTGCCCATTTGAGGTGCAGCGGCAGTCAATTGTGCTGCTGCTGATGTCAGTCTTGTTTGCTTTCTTGCAACACCCAGCAGTGCTGTCGTACGGATTGTCCTCCCTATGCTTCAGAGTGAGTCCGGCAGCCTCCGAAGTCCGAA